AAGGAATTTATTTTCAATGTAAGTCAATGGAACCAGAGTTTGTTCTAAGTCATTTTGGCCCATTTCTTTAGGTTCATTTATCATGAAACAATGTAAAAGGCAACAGGCACCTTCAAATTATGTCAAAAACTCAAAAATGACAAAAATGGAGATACAACGTTTTGTTCCGACATCAAGCGTAGACAATTAGTAACAGTGTCAATAAATAATCACAGAATATCACTTATTAAAGCAGCTGAGAACATAAGCAACTGAAAGGCTTTTGATCCTGACCCTCATTCATTCATTCATCTTCTTAAACCGTTTGATCCAGCTAGGGTCACGATAAAAATAGAGAAAACAGGTCCCAGATGACAGAGAGTCCCCTGTAACTTCCTCCAGCTCATTCTGGGGGATCCTGAGCTGCTCCAAGGCCAACTTGGAGATATAATCCCTCCAGCAAGTCCTACGACGACCTCTCGTCCCAGTAAGCCATACTTAAACTAAACCAAAGGCAGGTGGCCAGGGGGGCATCCCAATCAGATGTCCGAATCACCTCAACGGTCTCCTCTCAATCTGGAGGAGTAGTGGCTCTACTTTAAGCTCCTCCTGGAAGACTGAGCTCCTCACCCCATCAAGTGGAATGTGGCCTTGATAAGCTAGTTCAATGTAGAATACTGTGTCACCTCCTACAATGGCATACACACACTTTAACTGTGAACTCCCGTTTGGTGTGTAGTGACAGAAATGATCATTAACATAAACACAGATTCTGTTTATCCATCATAAAGGAGATAAACTACTGGATTTGTTTTTGTTCCAGATCTTCCTGTTACCTGCCATATCTAGCACTACTTATCTTTCCAGGACACAAGTTGTGCTCTGCATATGCATTATCATTGGTTCAATTTGTCATTTGTTCATGCATAACCCAAAAATTTAATGTGTTTAATCATTTCCCTGATCATTATCTGATGCATCTTTGAGGTTTGGACAAGTGTTGCCGGCTTTTTCCAGCCATTATTAATGTTATAATACAGATGCCTGGTGTTCACATATACAATTACAGGTAGTATTTTACCCAAAACATGTAACATTACAAGAAGACAACACCTTTGTTTTCTTGGTTTTATGAAAATGCCGAAGATATGATAAATGGTTTAAGCAACTCAAAATGGGACACAGTGACACAAGACTGGTCATGCTAATGGTGTAAGGAGATGCTTAGGGCAAGTCCTGCCTAGAAGACTCCAATGCTGTCACTCATTCATTACTCAGACCAATCACTGATTGCCACCTGTCTTTACAATGACTCAACTTGCCTTGTACCTGTTCAGCTGTTTTCAGGTGACGACATGTCGACATTCCGTCATTTTGATACACGTAGCTGCTACGTCTCCAAGAGAGATTGCTGATATTCAAGTTTCTGATTCCGGCAGTGAGCTTGTTCCTCCGTCTCTGATGACTTCTTATGCATTGCAGTGCTCACATCCACAGCTGTGAGTCTTTATGGTCTTCTTGGCCTTCCAAGCTTTTGGGTGATAATGGCATTCCGGCTGCTAATTCTCTGAGCAGCCCCTCCATTCCTCCTGCAGACTTTCTCCTGCTTCTCCCGCAGCATCAGCTCAGCCAACGAAGGTTGGGAGGAAGTGTTTGGCAAAGTTATCCTCTCCTCACCCAGCAAAAAGTTCCTGTAAGCACCCTGCTCCTCTGCATTCTCCCCATCAGCTGCCCTGGATCTCTAACTGCCGTAAGTCATCCAGAGTCTCGCAGACTCTGCTGTAAATTCAGCCAGTTTAAAAGACAGTCTGACTCCACCCCTTGGTATGCTGTGCTGATCCATGATGCCCTGCTGTTCCTGCCCTGCCTGCTTTAGTAACTCCACTGCTCTACCTGCGCAAGCCTTGGGTAGGCCACTCATTCCTCCTCTAACTTTAATTAGGCCTCCTTGCTCGTCCATCCATCTTTCGTTTTTTCTTAAAATGTCTAATCCTAGGCTGCAGCACAATCTCTCCTTTGGGGAGTTCGTTGTCACGTTTGACATTTATGGAGATGTTTTGTTTCAAGTCTACCCCGAACATTGGGAGGAACTGGACCTGTACTTGACCATGATGGTTGACTTTAGCCAGTGATATGAGGGTACGCTGTTTATTGAATATCATAAATAATTTTTGGCCAAGTCTATCTTGCTGTTACACCACCCTCCGTTTCCACTGACACTACCTCCCAGCCTCCCTAATAGAACACCTCACCTGATCACATGACCTCTGATCTCCCTCACATGACTCTCCACAGGTCTGCTTCACCTGACTACTGATTCACCTCACCTGTTCCTTGTTTCTTGTGATCTGTTAGTTTAGTATATAAGCCCAGGCTTTAGCATGGATATTTGCAAAGTGTAGCCTTTATTTACAGAGCTTTACTGAGCCTTCTAGTTTGTTTGTTTGCTTGCTTCACCATTCATGACCATTGTCTTGTTTGTTTTTGACCTTGCCTTTTTGCCTAGCCCTCTCAGTATTGTTGTGATTTCTGGTTTGACCTTGTTTTCTGGATTTTGGACTTTTTGGAATCCGAGCCTGACTCTGGCTCATTACTCTCTACAATTCCAGACTGGACTGGTTGTTTATGGACACAGAATTTCAGGTTCATCACTTCAGCGGCCACCATGCTCTGGTCTGTGCCATGTGTAGCTCCCGCTGCCACTCCTCTGCCCGAGGGCCTACACTGGCAAAGCTGCATCTACTGTCCATGGTGCTGAACCTGTAGGTGCTTTTCAGGATAAGCATGGTGGACCTTTTGTCAGTTTTAATGTGAATGTTTTGTGCAATGATGCAATCATTTCCATGAATCTTTATGCACCTTTGCTAATTAAAATAATCTGCATATCTGTAGCTTTTTCAAGGACCCCCACACAAAATCCATTCGTCCTCATCACTGGATGAACCTGGTGTTGTTTCTGCTCTCTTGGCTAAAGAATTGAATAAAGATTATGTGGTTGGCCCACAGTCTCCACTCTCAATTTGCAGAGTGAGTAAAGCTTAAAATAATATCGTTAGCCCAACGCAAATTTATCAAAATTGACTGGAAACCCGCATAAAAAGCAACTTGATACTTGCCTGGTGCCTCTGCGAGAGACTGACCCTGAACGTCCAGTGTAAAGTCTTTACACTCTTTACTCGTATTAGTGCTGATCATGACGCTCAATAATGCTTTAATGAAAGTGATTCATTTCATCAATAATCTGATTCTGCGTTTAGCTGGTTGGATAGTTATTTATTTGTTGTGTTTGTCTCACAGCTTTGGAGGGGAGGGTGGTCTCTACTAAAGCGGGTGTGGGAGCACTGAGAGAGGAGAATGCTTTTTTTATAAGTTTTATCTCTGAGATAGAAATATCATTTTTCAAAAGCTTTATTAATAAAAAAGCTGAGCAACATGTACAATTCACCACATCAAAACAGTATCAAAAATTACTTATTAATTTATTTGTTTGTATATTAATTCATTCATTCATGCAGACAGACCAAAGGTGGCGTTTTCATCCGCTCCAGGCTTAAAAGGCCACCTCGGGCCTCTCAATGTGGACACCATACTGGTTTTCAGCAAAGAGATCACAAACATTGGAAACGCGTTCAGTCCAATCACAGGTAAACTCTCCACTCAGGAGTCTATTACTTCAGGTTTAATGTACTTGGTTCCAGCAGGTCACACATGCTGGCTGTATGTTTGTACAAAAATGAGAATCTTAGACGTGACTGAATTCCCGAAAGGATTGAATAAGTACTCCGTTGGTGGAGCCACTCTGCTGCTGCAGAAAGGAGATCATGTGTATGTTGCACTCAGAAGTAACAGTCAGATTAATAACAACAGTGAGAACTTATTGGTGTGATGGTGCAATACTGCCCCCTACTGGTTCCATTACCATTCTTTTCTGCAAATCTGCAGAATCTTTTAGCTTCTCAAAACATGTGTTAAGTATCCAAACGGAAGTAGAGACCACTTGCCAAGATCTTTTAAAACAGTGTTTCCATTTCCAGTAACATTTTTCAGTGAAAAAAAAAAACACCCACTTTCAGTAGCTTTTCTAATCAATAAAAACAGGACATCATAGCCATTTACATGTACAGTAACGCCACTCTTAATAATGATTTCTGATCAGACTGATAGTGCTTCCAAAATTCATGTTTCACTAAAATGTCAAATACCCACAATTCTGTCCTTTAAAGCACAAAATATAGTGAACAATTGAGTAATGATATTATTATTATTCTCAAAGACAGCTGTTCACTCAAATGATAAAAAACAGATACATTTGAAAACACCTTTTTCAACTCCTCCACACCTCATTGGCTGCAAGCAGAGCAAAGGGTCACCAAGACTGAGACTGGGAAACACTGCTCTGTTCTAAAGTGAAGATTTCTAATTACCATGTACTAAGAAGGTGTTAATTTCTAGTGATTTGGCTTTGTTTGAACATCAACTGTGCTTATTTACAGTTTCTAGTAGTGTTGTAGCATCTAGACCAGTCTTGAGATGGTAAATGAATGATCTCGTTCATTAAGATAAACTGGTAATTTGGTCAGCTGAGTTTGACGCCTCCATTTGACGTAACCAGAAGCTGACATTTTTGATCGCTTGTGAATATCGACAACACCTAGGTTCCAAGGTTTAAATTGGCTTCTATGGGTGGTTGATGTATTGTATTGATGTATAATGTAGTAGCTCCCAAATGATGGAATACCCGCCCCAGTTTATTCAGGATGCAACCTCTCTATCTTCATTTAACTCTCTGTTACAGACTTACTTGTTTCACTGTATTATTGTTTACCTTGAATGTTTACCTGTATTGCCCTCTTGTTTAATGTGTTGATGTTTAATGTGTTGATGTTCTTTGATTGTAAAGCGTCCTTGAGCACGCTATACAAATAAAAGTGATGAAGAAATAAAGTGATGATGACTCTCATCAGGTTTTCTTAGCGACTCACAGGTTAAATGTCTTTGTTTCAACAAAAAAATTGCTTGTGTGTTCGCTTTGTTTATGGTTTGCAATTTTGTACTTGTTGTTATTTGGACACACGCAATCAGCTAGACAGCTAGAAATACTACATATTGCTGTTGTTGAAACAAAATCTCTTATCTCCAAAACGGTAACTTTGCAGGAGAAGGAAAAAACCTACTTTACTTTTAATGTAAGTCAATGGAACCCGAATGTTTTTCTGAGCAATTTTGGGCTGTTTCCTTTGGTCCAGTCATCACGAAATCTACACATAATGTAAAGCACAACATGCATTTTCAAATTATGTCAAAAACTGAAAAACAAAAATGGACATACAAGGTTTTGTTCCATCAGCAGCGATAAACAATTAAACAATTACACTTCCTCCATCACCGTGTCACAGAGAGAAGAGCAGGAAGCCACCAAAAGTGTTAAAGTTGTTGTAGTCATCATAAACCTGATGGTTGGCTGTAAGTTTTATGAATACAACATCGCCCTTCTCCAGTGACAGACTGATGTCTCTACTGACAATCACATGGTTTCCATTGGGAAGGTCAGATATTGTAAACATTATATCTTCATTACGGAAAAACCTCATGCCCGTCCAGTGGTCACTGTACTTCCCAAAGATGGTGGCTGTGAAGTGGTAGACCCCTTTGACTGGTGCAGTGAAGACACCTGCAGAGGAAAAACAGCTCATCTCAACACTTTGGGGACAGAATACAGAACAGGATTGTCTTTGTTCAGTATATTAATGAGGAACTACCTGTGACTGGATTATAAGCGTTTCCATTATTTGTGAAGACTTTTTTGAAGCTCATTGTAACATCGGTTGTGAAGGGCCCGTAGAATCCATCCATTCCCAAAGCAGCTGAGAACGCTACTTTCATGTGGTCTGAAATCAAAAATGCACTGATTTCCACATAAACCCCTTAAACGTCTGCACTTGGGTCCACATTCATCACTCTCATAACTTCAGAACTTACACATTAGTAGCTACTAAATCATTTACACTATAGAACAGCTGCTTTTTTCTTTTCATTATTCACGTTGCATTGTAATTTCACACATTTACAAACATTTTCTCCAACACTGCTTTTCTAGAAAGGCACACTGATTACTTACCATCATGCGTTTTCTCAAATCCCTCAGTCAGGGGTGGATCCTGCTGCATCTGAGCAGCTTCTTCTAGCTGAACTTCATCCTCTGCTTTAAGCTGAAGAATCCCAACCCACACATACAGAAGCAGAGCTAGGGTTGCTACGGTGGCCTTCATTGTTGAGGATGTTGAACCACAAGCTCTCATTTTTCACTTTTATAACCGTAGCAGTTAAACATTACCTATGTAGGAGTACAGAATTACTGGCATCCCCTATGAAAACGGGCCAAAATCTATATATTAAGTAGGTCATAGTCAAACTCTAACTTAGTTTGATAAAGGTTCTGTCTGTGGGCCAATCAGCACTTCGAATACACACAAGAGGTTCTGCTTCATGTCATGTTGCTGCTCTGCTCAATGACTGCAGGAAAAAGTTTAGAAAATTGTATGAAACATGAAAACATGTCGCTGAAACTCCACCTATTGTCTTACAGATCTTTAAAAACTCTTATTGTCTTAAATTTCATAAATATTAAGCCTTAAATTTAATCAAATAGTGAACATTTGAATTGAATCTAAAACTGATCTGTGCACTGGACAAAATATTTAGCACTGACCTTTATACTTAGTCTGCAATGCTTTTTTGAATGAGAAAAAGATTATTTGTCCTAGGACAAGAAATAAATCTCATAAAAATAACTAATAAAAATAAGTGTCATAGAAAGCATTACATTAACTTTGAGATACATGTAATCACTCTGCTTCAACAGTAATTGGGATTTCAAAATCAACAGTATATCATAAAAACATTCAGAGAATCCAGAGAAATCTGTGTATGCAAAGGACAAATCTGAAAACCAGTACAGTATGGCCATAATTGTCAGGCCCTCAGACGGCATTGCATTAAAAACAGACATGATTCTGAAGTGGAAATGACTGCATGGAGTCAGAAACACTTCCGAAAACCACTGCTTGTGAACACAGTTTGTCGCTGCATTCACAAATGCAAGTTAAAACTCCACCATGCAAAGAAGAAACCATATATAAACAGGATCAAGAAACACCGCCGCCTTCGCTGGGTCCAAATTCTTTTTGGAAATCATGGACGCCGTGTCCTCCGTGGTAAAGAGGAGAAAGACCACCCAGCTTGTTATCAGGCACAGTTCAAAAGCCAGCGTCCATGGTGGTATGGAGGTGCATTAGTGTACATGGCATGGGTGAATTGCACATCTGTAAAGGCGGCATTAATGCTGAACGATATAAACAGGTTTCTGACAAACATAAGCTGCCATCCAGATGACGTCTTTTTCTGATAAGGCCTTGCTTATTTCAACAAGACAACACCAAACCACATTCTGCATGTATTACAACAGCATGGCTCTGTATTAAAAGAGTCTGGGTGCTAAATACAACAAAGAAGACCTCAAACTGTTGAGCAGCTGAAATCCGAAATCAAACAAGAATGGAAAAACATTTCACTTTCAAAACAACAGCACTTTATCTCCTCAGTTCCCAAACGCTTACAGAGTGTTGTTAAAAGAAGAGGTGATGCAACACAGTACCTGCCTCTTTGCCCCTTGATGTCCATAGTGCCCTTTTTGAATTTTTTTCCCTGCCCTTTAAGGAGGGTGTCAGTGATCGCCAGATCAGTTGCTGATGCACTTAAGTTAAGTAAGACTTTGCCCCCCAGGAGAATCCGACTATCTTCTTGTGCACACGTTACACAAGCATTTGGACACTATAGATTACATTTGCGATTTGAGTTGTTTCTATGTGTAAATAACGATTAATGTATAATTTCTTTAAGAGTAAACAGCAGAACAGGACCTAAGGTCAAACACAGAGTCTCACAGTGAAAGCTTAACATATGATATTAATATCTACATATCAATGGTTAACAATCATAATAATCAGTATTACTAAAATACTTAAAACGGTTCTTTAATTAAGTCTGGAGCAATAACACACTTACTATAAACTGTTCACATCTGACCATGTGACGCTGCAGTATTACCTTTGTCTCATCATTTTTGGACAAGTTGACTTTCATTTCTCTTTTAATGAGATCTTGGAGAAGTAATTTTCCAATGAGCTAAGTGATATCTAGCTAGGATAAATCTAGGGTGCCTAATGAAGTAACTTACAAACATGTATACACTCAACACAGCAGTTATTAGATGGAGTATCTGAATAATTGTCCATTGTTCTTTAATTTTCCTGAGAGATGCTGTTTGAAGAGGGTCCGTTGTGATCATTTTCAGACTGGAGCTGCAAAGAATCAAGTAATTTACTTATTATGTGTTTAAGTTGGGAACTTATGTCTCCACCAAACAACATTGAGACATGTGATGTTGTAGAGATTACTCTGAACTGACCTTCCCACAGTGACCACAGTGCATGAGATGACAGTTTACACATCAGAACCATTAAGCCAATCTCAGTCTTGTCTAACTTAGTTGCTTCACTTGCGCTGTCTAGTAGCAGCAGCAACAGATCCTGTCTGCTGATCCTGATCACTTGATACAGCAGCACTTTTAGCAGCCACATCTGTATGGGAGTTGCCTCTTGTTTCATATGAACTGTATGCTGTAGCATTAACATCACCCTTCACTGGAACTAAGGGGCCCAAACCCTGAAGAACAGCCTCAGCCCATCATCCCTCCTCCACCAAACTTTACTGTTGGCACTGTGCATTCAGGTAGCTAGAGTTCTCCTGGCATCCACCAAACCCAGATTCTTCCATCAGACTGCCAGATAGTGAAGCTGATTCATCAGTCCAGACAACACATTTCCACTGCTGCAGAGTCCAATGGCAGCATGCTTTACACCACTCCAGCCGACGCTTGGCATTGTGCAGAGTGATAGGCTTGTGTGTAGAAGCTCGGCCATGAACACTCCTTTAATGAAGCTCACAACTCTACATGTTTCAGCACTTGTTGTGAGTTCATGTGGTCTGTTGCTTTGTGGCTAAGCTGTTGTTGCTCCTAGACACTTCCATTTCACAATAATAAGATTTGCAATTGACCAGGGCAGATCTAGCAGGGCACAAATTTCGCAAACAGAATTGACAGTGCCACATTTGAAATCACCAGTTCTTCAGTGAAACCTATTGTACTGCCAATGCATGACTCTGTACTTGATTTTATCCACCTGAACTCAATACTTCTGGGCAATTTATTTATATCCTAAATTTTATTTATAATCCTAAATGTATCTCTCCTAACTTGTAGCCAGTAAATATATGTGTGTCATGCATAGAGTCACGTATGCTTAGTCTTTGATCAAACATTTTCTCCTAGTTTGGTCCGTTTTTGACATGTGAACACTCCACCCATATTCAGGACCATACCAAACAACTGAACTTTGAACCAGTGACCCCTGCTTGAGTGCACTGCTGGCGGGAATGCATTTTTACGATGGTCCACACCTAACGAGAGAACTGAACACCAAATACTGCCTTTTAACTTTTTACTTTTGCAGACGTCTTATAGTCACTGCAGCATGAGCTGCCACTCAGATACTCAACAGATAAGCAGTGAAATAAGCAAATATATGTTTTTAATTTTGGCGCCTGGATTGCAGAACATATTTTTGGCTAAGCATCACTGACCTCGTTGGTTGAATTCAACTTGGTAAACCAATCATAAAGAAGCAGAAATTATTTCATTATCCGTTTTTATGTATATTTTTACATTTTCATGGTGGTCAATGTGAGCACATGGTGAATCCTCACATCCCTGGAAAACTTCTGACCAACAACCAAACACCTGTTTGTCTGATTTGGTTCACTTTAGCCGTTGCGCTGTGAAACCAACCAAACCTAATGAGTAAGATTCAGTGTCACCTAACATCTCATAATGAGTTTAGAGAGGCATGTCATTAACATGTGTTACATCCTGAGGACGTATGTTTTCTGTCCTGCTTGTTTCTCTCCTGCTCTCTTTCTCTCTGTTTCTCTTTCACTTATTAGAAACCTGCTCACTCGTGTGTGCCATTGGCTGGAGTCCCATGACAATGTGTACATCTGAGTGGCTGGCTGCGAGTGCATGGGGTATTTCATCTGGACCAGGGTGTAGAAGTGGGTGCCATTTCTTTGAACTCAGTGTTTTCTCCTGTTTTTGGCCTAGTTAGGGAGTAAGGGAAGACTATGTATTGGTGTTTCTTTATTTTGGTGTAGGTAAGTTAGTTCTCTAAATTCTCTAGCTGGACTAGTTATGTTTGTTGTTTTGGCACATGCCCACTTTGTCCTGTGTTGGTGTACAAAAGAGCAGCAAAAGAAAAGAAAATAACACAACTTGATCTGTTTAAACGCTGAATGACTCTCTTTTGTCTTCTGTATTTTAGGTCCATCGTAAAACCCCTGGACAGGTTGTAACACATGACATGAACAGTAATTTTAGCTACTCAGTCAGTGGCCTAGTCGCATTTTGGGGTATTGAGACATGTGATGTTGTAGAGATTACTCTGAACTTACCTTCCCACTTAGACCGCAGTGCATGACATGACAGTTTACACATTAAAACCATAAAGCCAATCTCAGTCTTGCCTAACTTAGTTGCTTCACTTGCTTTGTTTTCTGGGTGTTTCCATATATAACGCTCTGTATCCTGAACTGAATAACTCAGAATCTTTCAGTATTGAATCAGGTCCTCATGAATCATTGCTGGCAAACTTGTTTGCATTTGCCTCTAATAGGTCATGTACATTTTTCTTAAAGTAGCAGCAGCAACAGATTCTATCTACTGATCCTGATCACTTGATAGAGCAGCACTTTTAGCAGCCACATCTGTATGGGAGTTGCCTCTGGTTTCATATGAACTGTATGCTGTAGCATTAACATCACCCTTCACTGGAACTAAGGGGCCCAAACCCTGAAGAACAGCCTCAGCCCATCATCCCTCCTCCACCAAACTTTACTGTTGGCACTGTGCATTCAGGTAGCTAGAGTTCTCCTGGCATCCACCAAACCCAGATTCTTCCATCAGACTGCCAGATAGTGAAGCTGATTCATCAGTCCAGACAACACATTTCCACTGCTGCAGAGTCCAATGGCAGCATGCTTTACACCACTCCAGCCGACGCTTGGCATTGTGCAGAGTGATAGGCTTGTGTGTAGAAGCTCGGCCATGAACACTCCTTTAATGAAGCTCACAACTCTACATGTTTCAGGACTTCGTGTGAGTTCATGTGGTCTACTGCTTCGTGGCTAAGCTGTTGTTGCTCCTAGACACTTCCATTTCACAATAATAAGATTTGCAATTGACCAGGCCAGATCTAGCAGGGCACAAATTTTGCAAACAGAATTGACAGTGCCACATTTGAAGTCACCAGTTCTTCAGTGAAACCTATTGTACTGCCAATGCATGACTCTGTACTTGATTTTATCCACCTGTTAGCAACAGTAGTGACTGAAACACCTGATCTCAATAACTAGGACGTGTCCACAAACTTCTGGCCAATTATTTACACCCTAAATTTTCATTTATAATCCTAAATGTATCTCTCCTAACTTGTAGCCAGTAAATATATGTGTGTCATGCATAGAGTAACATATGCTTAGTCTTTGATCTGCCACCAGGGTCACTGGAAACACCGGGGCGACAAACTACACAGAGCGATGGCCAACACAAACAAAGAGAATCAAACCCACTAGCAGAACCAATCACAATCTCCATTTCAGCTGGAGGGTGAGACATTTCCCAAACAGTGAAGCCTTTGCGAGTTGGAGTTCAGTGAGAGGAGCTGCAGCTCACTAATCCAGCAAAATGTTTTACTGCAATACACAAAGTAAAGCACTGGATCCAGCTTTGAATTTACTGTCAGTTTTAATATTTCTTACTGCTATCTTGCTTTACTAAGGTCGCTGTCACTGGTACCATGTTTGGTGTGGACCTGTTAAACATTTTCTCTTAGTTTGGTCCATTTTGACATGTGAACACTTCACCCATATTCAGGACCACACCAAACATGTGAACTTTCGAACCAGTGACCCCTGCTTGAGTGTGCAGCTGGTGGGAATGCATTTTTACAATGGTCCACACCAAATAAGAGAACTGAACACCAAATGCTGCTTTTCTCAGGGTGCTGTCTTCATTTTCTGCCTATTGGCCTAGTTAGGGGAGTAAGGGAAGACTATGTATTGGTGTTTCTTTATTTTGGTGTAGGTAAGTTAGTTCTCTAAATTCTCTAGCTAGACTAGTTATGTTTGTTGTTTTGGCGCCTGCCTACTTTGACATTGTCCTGTGTTGGTGTACAAAAGAGCAGCAAAAGAAAAGAAAATAACACAACTTGATCTGTTTAAACACTGAATGACTCTCTTTTGTCTTCTGTATTTTAGGCCCATCGTAAAACCCCTGGACAGGTTGTAACACATGACACGAACAGTAATTTTAGCTACTCAGTCAGTGGCCTAGTCGCATTATGTCACTCAGCCAGTCGTGTTGTTTTTTTTTTTTTTTTTTTCAAACCACAGATTTTGTCCTAATGCTTTTGAAGGTGTGGCGCCATCCCTGGTCACCACTATGAACCCAGAGCTCAGCTTCTGCAATCTACAATCTACTTCTGCATTTTGCTTGAAGTGTGTGTGTGTGTGTGTATCTGTGTGTGTGTGTGTGTGTGTGTGTGTGGCACATCTGTGCATGTTCCACTATATAAGAATCAGATGCTGATCGTCTGTTACATTCACCCCATTTTCAACTGAGCTCTTCCACTCTACACACGTCTCAAATAAAACATCTCAGGATGAGGGTCAGTGTGGTTCTGCTTTGTTTCTACTTGTGTTGTGTTCAGCTCCAGAGAGCTGATGACCAGCTTCTGCACAACAGTCATGTGGAACGATCAGAGCCAGACCAAACCAACGTCCAGCCTGATGTGCGGACCGAGCTGAGAGACGTGGTGGTGGAGCAGAGGGAGCAGCTTGAGTTCACTCAAAGCCAGATTGAACAGCTGAAGAAACAAAACACAGGTGAGTCAAATGATCTGAAATGAAAAAGTTCCAAACACATTTTTCACAAAATTTTAGAATATTTTGCTCAAGAAAAAAACCCTAAATGAACACCAATTAAAGTTAAACAACTCTGCAAATTTGCAGACTTCAACAAAATTAGAGAAAATTGGTGCATTTTTAATCTTCCATATTGTTCCACATTGTTTCAAGGTGTTTATGATGTTTGTAATGATTCACTGACACTCATACAGTATAAGACCATTTCACTGTAATGTTGTTTCTGGTGTCTCTATGTTAATGCCACAAATAAAACTGCAAAAATTGGTGTCTTGTCAAGGAAAATTATCTTAAATATAGATTAATCTCACATTTCTCCTGTTGAGATTGTTGTAAGCTTAATTTAAGATTATTTTCCTTATTCTAGACATTTTTACTTGTTTTCAGTAATTGTATTAAGTAAAATTGTCTCACTGCAGTGGAAGACATAGTGAGATAATTTTACTTAATAAAATGACTGAAAACAATTGAAAAATGTCTGGAAATATATTAGATAATAAGTGCACAACCATCACAAAATGGGAAATATTAGACATATCAACTAGATTTAAGATCATTTCACTAAACAAGATCCCATTTTTTGTAGTGCTAGAGTTGACAAGTGAATTCTGGTAGGAAAAAATCTTTTATATCAGAACCATAACTTTCTAAATCAAATCTTAACAACAGAGTTTAACTCATCAGTAAATGACAGACCTTAAATTTGACCTCTTTTGCTCAATCTATATGCTCCATAATGCTTCACATACATATTACAAGCATCTTGGTGAAGAAAAAGAAACAGGATCAGCCAAAATTTCTGCTGCGAGAAGAGCTCTTCATTACAGCTCTTTATATGCAGAAAAGACACAAACACAACAGCCCATTTGCAGAGAGGTCATTCTAGCCTTGCAACTCTACTTCATGGTAGACGCTTAACCCCCCCCCCCTTACTAAACCCACACCACGACAAAATAACACACATGCAACATATACACTCGCTTTAAACCGAAGAACAGGACATTCACAACATTGAATAACAACATTTCACATCCCTTTGTTTTTTGTTTGTGTTTGACAGCTTTGGAGGGGAGAGTGGTCTCTACTGAAGTGGGTGTGGAAGCACTGAGAGAGGAGAATTCATGTAAGACTTGCATGTGTGGCTCATCATCATTTCTCAAATACTTGAGCAACATGATGTTTCTGCATAAACCTCAAAAATAAACATATGCCAGTGTAATGAAATGGGTTTGTACTCAGGCTGCAAGTGCAGAGTAGTTTGATTAAGGCTTATAGTACATCACAGGCAGGGGTCAAAAGACAGACAGGAAGGTCCACACAAGGAAAATCTATTAGCAAAAATCAGCTAATGGTCAAACGTAGAAAAATACCATCACTAAAATTTCCAGTACTATGGAACACGGCTCAGAACTCGAAATGCACAGAGATTTCTCAAAGCCCAAGGCCAAATAAAGATGTTTATATACATTTTTCAAGAAATAATTTGTTATTATTGATAATAATTGATATAAACAAGTATTCCGCCAGAAAATTTAGTTCCTTTAGAGTTTAGTGTCTTTGCCAACCAACCATGGACAGCTGAATGAGGAGAACGTTTGGTCACCCATCGCTGTATATTGCGGTCATTTTATGAATGTTTTAACTTTTTGTCATATAACAAAAATTGGCTTTATTAGTACTTTTTGGTCAGTAAATTACCACCTTATTATTACCAGTCTTATTTATCACCAATCCAGCAGTGCTTCTGTTCATACATTGAATCTGGGCTGAATCTCAATTGTCCCCCTGCTCCCTACATAGTACACTACCTAAGGATTTAAATACTGGATCCTGCAGCCCAATGGTGCATAACGTAGCTAAGAAATAGTCAGCTGGGATTCAGCCACGTCCGCACTGGATACATGATGCACTATTGTGTTGTAGAGGCTAGAATTTCTAAACTTGCACACTATTTAGAGAATACAGGGCCGTTTGGGATTCAGTCTGGGTTAGACACTATTTCTGACTGAAACACGGGTGACTGAAGCATGTAATCCATTCAGGTGACATTTTTGACTTTTACACTGCCGTTTTACAGTTAATGAATCTGTAACTACATTAATTCAAGCCTGTGGTATTAATGATGGAGGTGTTTAGGCTGTTGGCTCTTTTAGCCTGTTAGCTGACTGACCAGCCTGGTTCTAGTTAAGAACATAAGTTGTCAGCCCCTCAGTTTAAACAAAAAACAGGTTCTTACTTCATCAGTACTCGCGGTGGTCCATGTGAGCAGCACTAGAGTCAAAGATTATTCCATTAAAGGCACAAGGGTTGTTTTGTGCTGTGGCACAATAATACACAATTCAGTTGTTGTGAAGTGGATGTTAAGTGATTAGGTGACCCTTATTAGTCCCACAATGGGGAAATTTCACCTCTGCATTTAACCCAACTGTGCAGTGAAACACTACATACACACTAGTGAATACACACACTAGGGGGCAGTGAGCACACTTGCCCGGAGCGGTGGGCAGCCCTATCCACAGCACTGAGGGAGCAGTTAGGTGTGCGTATATCGTGGATTTTACCACGGCTTCAAGCATAGCTCAGTCAATCAGATTTTAGGACCGGAACTATCCGTTTTATAAATGTCCATAAACTATCTGCAGGAGTGTGTAATGATGGAGGGATGGAGCCACAGAGTGGAAGGAGCTGCAATGAGTCATTTTCAGACTGGGCAGGAATAATCATTTAAATATCAGAGGCGTTGAGGCAGGAGTTTTTACACCACTTCGCATATCCTTACATATTAATGTCACATGCACAAACTCAAAAAGAAGGTGAGGCTCGATGTTTAGGTGTCAAAAGATCTCAATCAACATTATACTGATGAAGATACAATGACAACAGTAGATAATTCACTCTCATTCTCAGAAGTTGCTCCTTCAAGTTTTGACTTCAAGTTCTCTTTGAATTCTCTTTCAATCATCTGATTCTTCTACTCGGTGAAGGGGGCCAAAGCACAGCCCATGCTACAAAATGTTCTTACATGTTTCCATCATGTCTTCAAAATCCCCCAAACCCACATAGTCTGAGTCCTTTAATATATATATAAAAAAAGATCAGATTCAGCCTGACACTGTCCATGTTTCTGCTTGCAGACAGACCATGGGTGGCGTTCTCATTTGCTTCAGGCTTAACCAACAGTCTTGGGCCTCTCCCCATTGACACCATACTGGTTTTCCGCAAGAAAATCACAAATATTGGAAACGCTTTCAGTCCAATCACAGGTAAATGTACAGTCAGTACAGAGACAGTGTCCGATGTCTGGTTTGGTTCTTCTCTCTGGTGGTGTAGAGACTCTGTACTGATCCATCTGTTTCTCCTTCTGCAGGTGTTTTCACTGCTCCACTCAGAGGAGTCTATTACTTCAGGTTTAATGTACTTGGTTCCAGCAGGTCACACAGGCTGGCTGTATGTTTGTACAAAAATGAAAAGAAAATTTTAAACGTGGCTGAATTCCCGAAAGGATCACATGAGTACGCCGTTGGTGGAGCCACTCTGCTGCTGCAGGAAGGAGATCAAGTGTATGTGAAGCTCAGAAGAAACAGTCAGATTTATGATAACAATAACAACCATTGCACTTTCAGTGGTTTTCTGCTGTTCGCGATGTGAAATGCTTTTAGTGCTGAGGGAAAAGAGGAATTAGTACAGCGCTAAACATCTCATAATCATCATATAGAAATACATAGCATGTATTTTCATTTTTTACATGTTAAAAGTCTTTCATATATGTTGTGTTTCAATAAAAAATGCATTCCATGTTCTATTATAAATTATTTTTCATGACGTACTGCAAATGGACTGTGTACCAAATACTTAGACTAGATTTAAAACGTGATCTGCATTTTTAATATAGTCAAGATAATTTAACATTGGGTATCAAATTAAGTGTCAGAATTCATTTAACAGGGCAAAAACACTGTAAGTATTTCAGAATACAGAAAAAATTGTGCTTGTTTGATGCTTTCTTCTTTATTTGATCTATTTTGTGTCAATATTCTCTTTTGCTTTGCCATTCCTTGCCATTGTCACTGAATGTCACACACATATTTTGGACTGCTTATGTATATCGGGCCACGCTTTATTTGGATGGTCCCCTACAGATGCTCTACAGATACCTAAATCACTAACAAACTTTCTGGTTATATTCAGTTGATTATCGACAACAGTATGGTTATGGCTAGGGTTAGGAGTAGGTGTAGGTTCTGCCTTGAGGTTAAGGTGAGGGTTAGGTTTAGGGTTAGGAATAGATTTAATAAACGCTTTCAACTTGAAGTTCAGTTACATTTAATAGATATTTAGTTGAATTATACTTAAAGATTTACTGAGCATTTACAAAGTATCTACAGTGGAGCATGCAAATAAAGTGTTACCGTGTATTGTGTTTATTTCCTAAACGGATGTTTGTCATTCAAAGCTAGAAAACTTTCTGAGAGATCAGGTCATCAAATTGGCTTCATTCAGGTGATGTCATTAAAGTGTGTGCGTGGTTGATTTCAAAGAAAGGTGCACAATAAATACAAAGACACTTTACCCCTTTAATTCATTTGGTATAGTGTAGTTGGTAATAGGCAGCCTCATAGCTGCAGTGTTGCATCACTTAAGTAGCCAATCCAGACAGCCTTGTAGGGTTGCGCAAGCATACCACCCCAGGCAACCACAAAGCCGCAGTTTTGCATCATTCAAGTGGCCAGTCTAGGCAGCCTCATCGCTGCAGTGTTGCATCGCTTAAGCAAACAGCACCTATTTTATTAGAATGTTTATGTATTATATACATTTATGCAAGAATCTCTAGAAATGCATCAAGAAAAATCTAACAAATTGATCTATTTATTAGATCTATTTGGAAAAGTTAGTTAAAATGTAGCTTGCTGGGCCTCCTAAAGTGGCAGGCAAACACTTTCACTTTCATTTCCTGTTTGGAG